CCCTTGCGTTGGAACAAATAGCCAGACTCGCCCCCCAGGCACCGCAGGGAGTTAACCCGTTCAGCTGGCTTAAAGATCTTTACTGGACAGTGCCACGGTCCCGTCACAACGGGCGAGTTCCGTGCCAGAACACAGCCCGCTCGGACTTCTGGGCCCATGTTTTGAAAGCCTGGCGCCAACGCCCGTAACACGATAAACCCCCACCAACTAGGTGGGAAGAGGTGGCACGCCAACCCCTCTTTGGGAACAGAATGATCACAAACCAGTACAGTAGAGTGTTCTGCAGTTCAAGCACCCTGTGGAATAGCTGGGTTAAAAAAGGTATAACCAGAATAAAATATATATGGGATACACACGAGGGAGACTGGAAATCTGCACAACAACTAAGGTCTACACTAAAGTACTATCATAAGGTTGAAGAGCACATCGAAACCTTGATCTTTGCTATCCCCCTGAACTTGGTCCGCATCTTGCGCAAAGGGACGCGCCTGGTAGAAGGGGACTGGGTAACAACCCCGGGCGATTCGGAAAGTGTAGGCAACGTGGTGGAGGTACGAGCAAACGAAACCTTGATCAATCTCTTCCACATTGGTAAGAACAATGTGCTCACCCAGTACACGCCAGATGTGGCGGGATAGTGGAGAAACTCTGATTTGCACAGGATTCGTGTGCTGCAGGAGAAAGAGGTGAGGATGGTGTACCGACCAGACACCCCCGTGGTTGAGCTCCCTCTATGGAAAGAGGTAATAAACGAGCTCAAAACGATGAAGGCATAAATTACAAGGTCAAGTTAACGTCGTGGTAAGAACCTATTCTGAAGTCAAACGTGCTTACTTCTTTTATATCAATATTGAATTAAGTCGTTTGGCAGATACTTTGCGGGTTGTATAAGCCAATTTTGATTGGCCATTTTTGCATCCAAAGCGTATTTTATTGAAGTTCATCATACATACTAAATAGAAGTGCAAAACACCCAAACCCAAAATAAAAAAAGGAGTGCAACTTGTGCACAATCAATTGTTTTTCAAATCTTTGATAGCTGTGTTTGCTTTTTTTGGGTGGTTTCAACAAGTTTTTAGTTGGTTCTTACGTCTCTTTCGAGATGAATAAAATATAGAGGAATGGCACTGGTCCCCCCCACGTAAAACCAGTCCAGGGGAGAGTTTGAAACTGCATACTTTAACGGTGAAGGCTACCTATCGTCTGCTGCGACGAACTTAAAAGAAATGGTGAAGGCTCGATGGAGGTCTCATTTGAACGTAGGAACTGAGGCAATCCGCCCCATTCGATGGTTCACCGCCACAAGGTCCAGGCCAGCAAAGATGGCCTCGCTACAATGGCAAATAAAACATCGCTGCCTGCCTACAAACGTCTGGCTGATTGATCATACACATCTAGAGCAGAAGGGACGGGTGCTACCGTGGTATAAGTCGTGACACGCCGCCTTTCCCTCCCGTAGAGCTCCGGAAACCATAGAACATATATTCATGCAGTGTCCAAGGGCCATGCTTACATGGTGATGCTGGGATAGAATCTGGACACGGGTGGCCACCGGCTCCGACTGGCCATGGGACTGGAGAGCCATATTATGCGAGCCATGGACCTCCCCCACTAACGACACTTTCGAGAACAATATGTTCAAGCTAGGGAGGAGAGCAGTCATGTGGGCTCTCTGGAGAAAACGTTGTACCCATGCAATAGAGGGGGTCCGCATTGCCGGGGAAGAGGTTACAAACATGATAAAACAGTACATCCAACAAGAACTAAGGGTACAATGGCAAAAAGTCAAAAACCAACTCGAGTTGTTCCATGCATCAAAGGATATATCACAAGCAATTCAACAATTTTCGGACTGGTTGGGCAGCGAGAATGGGGGCTGGATTGCATTCGTCCGATGGGATGGTAAACCCGCCCAAGAATGCAACCGGGACGAGTTCAGGAGAGACTACTCTATTGACTTCAGAGACTGGACTACGGTGGGACAAGAATTTCCGCTGCGACCATCCGCAGATTTTCCAGATCCATTTCCACCACACCAGCTGGCAATGGTCGACATGCAATGGTACGGTGTAGAGTGAGCAGGGTCTTAGGCAAGACCATGGCCGACAAGCTCAAACGAGGAAGCAGTGGGTTAACAAACAGCACACGAAAGGCATCGGCAGAAATAGCCGCTGGGGCAACATGAGTGATCTGGCGGTCTGATGCTGACTAAAGAGGCGGTGAAGAGGCGGGAGTGATCAAGGCTCTCAAATCATTAACCCTGCACAGTCAATCCCCTAAAAACAGGGCAATCAATGTTGGAAGGCTATCTGATGTACAATGGGACGCTGGACCCGTTTTCCAGCAGGTGCTGCTCCCCACCAATAGATCAGAGCACCCAGGTATCTTGCTAGGAGAGGATGCTCTTATCACCTCTCCTAGCAAAGACTCCATGAGGATTGCTCCCTTAGGCGTCTTGCTGCCAGGCTCTATCTCTATGAGGTGCTGAATAGCCCTTGGTACTTGCCCAGAGGGTGCTTCAACTATGTCTGCATACTCCTTGAGCAAACTAGCAATAGTGGGATGGAACTTATCTTCCTCTTTTGGCTGGTCAGATGCTAGCTTTACATAAGCTAGGAGAGGATGCTCTTATCACCTCTCCTGCATACAAAGACCTGTTCTTCGAGTTGCTCCTTCTTTATGAATCTAGCGAAGGCAGGACCACTAAGGCAGCAATGTGCTAAGGCGTTGTCAACTTCTAACTCATGAAACAGGCAGGCTTTCTTAATCCCACCTGAGGGGCTAGGGAGCATGCACTCATTCTCTCGAAAGTGCAAAGTAGCTCCAACTGCCTCTCCCCCATCAGTACCAAATACTATATCAAAAAGGGCTATCTCTACAAGGAGAGTCGGGGAATGGTGAACCTTTTCTACCTTTCCCTCTCCTTCTAGGCGAAAAATACACCTTGACCCCCTCGACGTACTTATCGATCCACATTGTGCGGTTATTTGTGAGGATACTCACTACAGGCTCTTTCAATTTTTGGCCTTGGAGGCTTAGCCTCTACGTCTTCAACGCCTTTCTACTAATGTAACTTCTAGAGGCCCCACTATCTATAAGGGCCCCTACTCTATCTATAAGGGCCCCTACTCTAGATCTAAAGATCTCTACATCTGCTAACAACAACTGCCCCTTCTCATTCTTCTTCATTTTGGCCCAGGTTGGCCATCTCTCTTTGAACTCTTTGGTCAGGCCTCGGAGGGAAGCACCTAGAGCGCCTCTAACACAAGTAGTCTCTGGCCAGCTAGCTAGGTACTGGCCAGCAACCTCTCCCATGGATACACGTGGAGTGTGAGTTTCTACTTTGTGAGCGCACTCATCTCCACGTGCTCCTGGGGTAGGGGCAGTTGCCACCTCTACTAGCGGTTCCTTATTGCTGCCCCAAATGCAGCACGATTAGGCCTTTTGTACTTCGGGCAGAATTTGAGAATGTGGCTGCCTAGGGTTTCCCAAGGCCTGCCTTCAGGTCGTCCTGGGTGCCATTCACCCCTTCTGGGAGGTGACCGACTTGAGCTAGGGCGGTTAAGAAGGGGACCTTGACCCCTTCCTCCCACTTGGCGGTCTCTGTTGCCGCCAGCCCCCCGGCCGCCTTGCCCTCGACCACCTGAGGCGTGGGCACTTCTGCCACGACCTCGTCCTTCTCCTTGCGGCCTCCATTTGTTCGCAACAACAGCGTATGCACTCCCCCTCTCTGCATTGTTGTCGTCTTCCGCAAGTCCCCATTCTATGTCTGTATAGGGGACTTGCCCTGCACCACCTTCCTCCGTGGTTAGAATTAGACTCCCTTTCGCCTTGACTTGCCCAGAGATGGTGCGACCCTTCCACTTTTTCCCTTTAGCTAAGTCGTTACGCCAGAAAGTGGTAATTGGTATGGACTGGGCAACGCAACTACTTCCCTACTAACGAGATGGTAGGTCATCCCAGGCTACTGCCTCTTGTTGAAGAAATGCCCTTGCAATTGCTTGGGCAACGCACGGTAGAAAAGTTGGACTAGTTATGCTTCTGCAACCCCATGTCCAGGCACAACAATGATTTCGTCCATAGCAGCTTTTAGTGCGTGAACACTCTTCCAAGGCCGCGTCTGAATCTTTTGGAGTTTGTCGACACCTTCAATCCTCTGGTGAGATCTACAAAGCGTTCTCACACTGCAGCGAGAAAGTCGATAAGGTTAGTAATGGCAGATAGGCGACCATATCATTTTCGCAACGCGCGGCTCGTGCGAGGGATTTGGTGAAACTAGTCGCTTTGCCACTCAAAGCCTGAAAGGATATTAGGACATGGTCGTCGGAAGGCATGTTCTGTAAATACAGATATGATTTAATGCTAGCCTCCCAATTGTCAAGGTCCTCACCCCTTTTCCCACTGAAGGGCTCAGAGAAGCGAGCTTTGACTCTCTCAGCGGGGTTGTGGCTCTTCTTTCTTGGGGACTGCCATCTTAACACCCTCGATCGCACCTGTACAAAACTTCTCTGTCTTACCAATTGCGGTCCGCAACTCGTTGATGAGATGAATCATCATGTCCCGAGCAAAGTCGTGGAATCCGGCTCGTACAGATTCAAGTGCTACATCGTGCCCAAGAAGGTGTCTTATCTGTTCTCGCTGAGCTGCCAGAACAGAGGCCAGACCATGGGAGAGGGTGTCAATCTTTTTCCCAATTTCTTTTTCTTCTCCCATCTGACCCAGCCGCACTTCCGCCGCCTTCAATTCCTCATCCATCTTCTCTGCCATTTCCAATCACCTCGTCTTCTCCTTCGCGAGACGCAATTTCCATTCTAACTCCCTCTTTTGCTTTCTCGCCCGACGATGCAGGGGGCTCCTCTCTCTTTCCAGCTCTCTTTCTACTGCTTCTAGTTCTGCTTGGGAGACAACCAACTCTACTTCCCTATCTTCCCCAAGGGATAGTCATGCCACCCATTCCTTCACAGCCTTCTCCATCTCTTCCGGTGGGGCTAGGCTTGTACTCGTTTCTCCTCTTTCCTCCTTCCTTGTGGGCCCCTTATTGCTTGCTTCTCTTTTCCTCTGTGCAGCGGGGTCCCCTCTTCTTCGCTTTCTTCCTCCTCTTCTTCTTCTTCGGCCAATTGTTTGGCCAACTTCACCTCCTGCTCCTTCCACGCCTCTATCTCTTCCTCCATCTTTTTCTTCTTGGTCGCTGCTTCTTCCAGCAAGGCCAGCTTCTTGGCCTGTTTGTCCAGCGCTTTCTTCTCCTTTCTCTCCTTCTGCTCCCGGAGAATCCCAACAGCCTTTTCCTCCTCTTCTTTACTATACAGACAGGTCTGCAGTCCAGACTGGGTAGTCACATCACAACGAATGGTCCTCCAAAACCACAATGGGAAGAGGAAATGGATCAAGGGTCCCCAAAGGGAGAGGCCCATGATGAAGGCGAACATTGGGTAGTCGTCCATGCCGGACGGGGGCACAATCACAGGTGATTCTGCTCCTCAACACTTAGACTAAACCCTTAACAATTTAGACATTGACTGCACTATAGGACTACAAAGGTTCTCTCGTCCACCTTAGCCGGGCTACCACTGTCGTTGGATACTTTCGCAACCACAGTCCAATCTTTCCACACCGTCGAATGCTCGTGCACCCACGGTTAGATCCCGCCTTGCTTTGGCATCCAATTGTTCCTCTGTCAACTACTGGAAGCTACACTATTACTACCGCCTAGTATGTCACAACAGAACTACTGGCTGATCAGGAGGCATTTAACCCAAGAAGTATTTAATGTCATAGACAGGACAACGATCACGGCCAGAATTCTCTCAAGAGTTAGACAGACTGAATGCGCGACCTGCAGCTCAGGTATAGTGTACCACCCAAAGCGCCCTGCCGGTTCATACCGGTCCTTGGGAAGTTTTCCCCAGGTCGTCCAACGTCAGATACACCTCACCCCTACTATGTCCTATGCAAACGCCGACCCCTCAACCTCTATCCGACCATATACATGGAACCTACGAGATGACAACGGTCAATGAAGAGACTCAATGAAGAAAGAGATGACAAACAACCTGCAAGACAGACTCGATTGGAGCAAGTACCAAGGTGAGTGTGCACCATCCATAGAGCATAAAAGGACAAGGGCTAAGGCTTGAAGAGATTATATTGCTCCTCGGTCCACACTCCAAGCTTGGTCAACGGTCAACTTGGTCAATTGTACCAGTCAACACTCCGGTCAATCCTTTGACCACCTGGCTATGGCGGCTTCCTCTCTCTTCGTCACCTTCGTCCACTTCGCTTGCTTCTTCTTCGTCCTCAAGCTCGGCTATGGCCGGCTTCTTCTTCTTCTTCGTTGGCTACGGCTGCTGTCACCTTCTTCTTTGTCACCTCTCTCTTCTTTCACCTTCTTCTTCGTCACTCGTCTTCTCCCGTCCTCCGCTACGGTTGTGCAGACTCGCCTCGATTTCACGTCCAACATGCATACATGCAGATGCCGATGGCAAAAACTTCCTCAAAGCAGAATCAGCAACAAGCTTGAGATGGCGCAATACGCCCACACAGAAAACTCGGGGATATGCCCTTCGGCCAGGAACTCGGCTCAAGAGAACTTGTCACATCTTGCGGCTGTGGCGTCTGAACCAGTCTGAAATTCCCACCCGAACATTGGATCCAGCATCAGACACACTCACACGCACGTACGCACACAACACTTGGATCTACCCTGAATGTCTCCACTCACACACACTATCTTCTATCTTCTATCTTCTACACATGGGCGGCCATGGCCACCGTCGTCTTCCTCCTCCTAGCGGCTATGACCGCTTGCCCTCTCCAACCCGGGCTCTCTTGCTGACCACCTGTGACTCAACGCACAAGTCACAAAAGCAGCGCTTCCCCGTAGTTTGTCTCAGAATGAGTCCATGACTGATCGCTGCCTCTTTATTTATACTGTTGCGTTTGGTGGTCTGGGCCTGCCCGATGTCCCTGGCCCTCAAGATGTGCAGTCCCACTCTGGTACTTGCTGCATAACGGACTGGACTGGGACTGCCTTTTCATGTGCCCCTTTGGGGTTGACTTGGGACTCTTGACCTTTCAGCGATTTAACGGGCTGCCTCTACTGACTTCGAGAGGTCAAGTTGAATCTTCGAGACCTAACCTAGCCACGACCTACTAACCTATCAGAGGACGTATGGCCAGTTGACCTTTCGAAAGGTCAACTGTAAACTTGCCTTTTCGGGACACCTACAGACGACCCTAAGACTTCTAAACAATAGACCTAAGGATCAAATCCACACAACCCGGGCTTCACACACAAGGCATTTATACACAGGTTTGGGGACAGGTCGTGGGTTCAAGGCACACGGGGTCAATGAACAACACAAACGTATTGTACACTGAGTTGTAGAAAGTCTGGGGATCAAGCCGCGGTATCTGCAGTTGTTGCACGAACTGGGTGAAATACGTCCTCTGATAGGTTAGTAGGTCGTGGCTAGGTTAGGTCTCGAAGATTCAACTTGACCTCTCGAAGTCAGTAGAGGCAGCCCGTTAAATCGCTGAAAGGTCAAGAGTCCCAAGTCAACCCCAAAGGGGCTCATGAAAAGACAGTCCCAGTCCAGTCCGTTATGCATCAAGTACCAGATACCTTTCGAAAGGTCAACTGTAAACTTGCCTTTTCGGGACACCTACAGACGACCCTAAGACTTCTAAACAATAGACCTAAGGATCAAATCCAAACAAACCGGGCTTCACACACAAGGCATATTTATACACGGGGTTGGGGACAGGTCGTGGGTTCAAGGCACACGGGGTCAATGAACAACACAAACGTACTGTACACTGAGTTGTAGAAAGTCTGGGGATCAAGCCGCGGTATCTGCAATTGTTGCACGAACTGGGTGAAACTGTAATGACCCGCCAAAAACACAGACTGGGAACACTGCTGATTTCTGGGATTTGCCAATGGAATGAATGCCTTGCTGTGATTCCCGCATTCTGCTGTGGTYCCAAGTCTGTGTGTATGCGTGCCTGCTGGTTTGCATGCCTGTCTGAGTGCTTGCCGGTTGTGTGTGTGTACGTGCCTGCTGGTTTGCATGCCTGTCTGAGTGCTTGCTGGTTGGGTATGTGTGTGTGACCCGCAAGGGTACTTGTTGGTTGCAAGGCCCACCGGGCCAGTACTTACCTGTGGCCGTGACTTTGAAGGGTTGCAGGGGGGTAAACACGCCGGTAGCGGGGGGTAGGCCCACGGCACTTAGAGCAGCTGGGGAAA